GTTGGAGATGACTCGATGGCACATAACAACAACAACAAGAGAAAAAGTGATTTGTTCCCTTCCAGGTGGCAAGGATTAATAAGACTAATACGCTTCAAAATGGGGGGCTACATTATTTTCTATAAAGAGGTAATGGTTACTTTATTTTAAAAAATACCAGTCCCAAGAAAAAGCCCAACAGAATTCTCACCTACCAGGGAAACTGGGATAGGCTTCTGTCTCAGATACCGAGGATTTTCTATCTGAAAATTTAAGAGAAATTTAAATTTGAAGTATAAATTTATTAAATTTGAAGTATAGATTATTATTTGATAAAAGATAAAATTAAGCTGTGATAGGAAAACATTTTCTATTTAGTTCTTTTAGACAAACATTGTATACTTTTTTGGTGGCTTCCTGACAAAGTACAAAACATAAACTCCTTTGTACACAGAGATGGACCTTCATGACCCTTTCACTGCCTCACTGTTCACTCTCATCTAGCATTACTCCTTGCCTCACATTTCATGCTCCCAGAATCCTGAATGACTTATGTTACCAGAAGGCAATAGGTTGTCTCATACTTCTCTGCCTCTATGCAATACTCTGCCCATCCCTCCAACCTCTCTAAGCATGCTCCTATTCACTCTTCAAGTTTCAATTCAATCACTATACTCAGGCTTATTTGGTGGATGCAACTTTAAACATACTTCCATATAGCAATAGTATAAACAGCAACAGGTATGTAACAATAACTTTGAAATAACTTAAGATATAAAGAACACAAAATATCAGAATAAAGTTAAAAACATTGTTCTACATCCTACATTGCTAAGTAGCAACTGGGGCCTTAAAAGCTTGCAAGCAGTCATCTAGATACACCGATGGGTCTCTCTTCATTCACAGCAAAGGAAAATGAAGAAAACCAAAGACATATGGAAACAATTAATCCAAGGGACTAGGAGACCATGCAATCCTCAGCCTATATGACCATGAGACCAGAAAAATTAGATGGTGCCCAGCTACCACTGTCAACCACTCAGAGGAGGATCAGTGCAAGAGGTCCTGGATAGAGTGGGAGAACAATATGGAACCAAACTCAGAATCACAAAAAAAAAAAGAAAGAAAGAAAGAAAAGACCAGATTTGCTGGTCTGATAGAGTCTGGTAAGACCCCTGAGACTATGGCCCCTAGTTACCCTTAAGATCTGGAACTGAACTCACTCCTGTGGCTTCCAGACAAACAACAGACAGGCATAAGGGGTAAACATTTACATCAGGTAGACACACACCTTGGAGCAATCAATAAATCAATCTTGGGAGAAGAGAATGGCAGTGTTTGCACAGGGAGATATGTGGTCGAGGGGAGGCATGGGAGGAAAGAGGTAACTGGGGGGAGGAGGTTACATTGTGGGGAACTACAGTCACCATCATGAAACAAAATGTGTATGAACTGCTGTATGGAAAATGCATTTGCTCTGTAAAGTTTCACCCAAATCACAATAAAAATCATTTTTAAAGAAGAATAAATTTAAAGAGGAATGATCAAACTCAGGAAAAAAATAGAAGAAAGAATTGGCAAAAAATGCCCAAGAAATAAAGACCAAAGTAAGAATTGTCCAAAGTAGACAAAAACTGAAGTGACCACAAGACACACAGAAGACTGAAATGAAAATAAAACCAAGAAAATAAAATTGGGTACTTAGAAGGAAGCAGAGAGAAATGGATTTTAAAAACAGGCAAAAACAATCAAATTAATCTATAATTAGGTTTCCCAAAGGAAAAAAAAAAAAAAGTGAATATTTTAAGATTATTAAAGAAAATTGTTTTAAATAAAAATAAGACTAGAATCAAAATATTGGTAATTCCCACTGTCTACCTTAGAAAATGGACCCAGAACTATCAACTCTAAAGCATATTCAATATTTTTAGAATAATTTTTTAAACCTCTGGACTACCAGGCAAAAAAAAAAAAAAAGGACATTTATAAATGAATAATAATAACATCAGGTAAATATCACGTTTCTTGATATAATGTATGACATACAGAGCAAAGCAGTAGAACAAAATAAACTCAGGGAAAGAAAATATGAATCAAGTATTTTATATCCCATACAGATTTCTTGCAAGAATAAAGGTCATAAAACACCCTATCAAACATTTAAGAACTCAGAAAATATTGCATTACAAAGTCCCTCCTGTAGAATCTACCAGAAAATGAACATTATCACTTAGTTAAATTTCAACCAAAGGTGGAGGAAAATCTTTCCTGATTAAGCAGTAACACATCGGTAACTTCCTTTCAATGGTTCAAACAGAGAAAAAAATCACAAATTTAAAATGTGATGGGTACAGAAGTTATCACAGAACTATTTCTATGTAAATATCTTAATGAAAATTGAGAAAAAAAAAGTTTTCTTTAACAATTTCTTATATCCAAATTGGTAACTGTCTTATATTTTACTTCTCTGAAACAAAATACCATTTATTAGTCCAGTTAAATGGTAGTCTGCAATCACTGTATAACTTAATACATGTTTTGGGGGGTACTTGTAAATAATATTAATTCTGAAGAAAGGTAAAAAGGATACAGATGAAACAAAAGTTTTGACATCAACCAGAGAAGACACATTACATACAGATGACAAGAAAAACAACTGCTTCATGAGAAACAACATAGGGCACAGGACAAAGGAACAATATCTTAGAAACAAAGAAAGAAGAAAAAAAAAAACACCAGCTGATAATTTTATATCCAGCTAAAATATTTTTCATGAATGAAAATGAAGACTTTTGCTACCAGCCAAAATAAAGTAAGAAGAATCAAACTTATCAAAAACCAACCAAACTCATTGCCATAGAGTCGGATCCGACTCATAGCGACCCCTCCTTGGGTTTCTGAGGCAGCATCACTATGGAAGTAGATTGCCCAACCTTCCTTCCGGGGGGAGTGGCTGGTGGGTTTGAACCACCAGCCTTCTTGTTAGCAGTCAAATGCTTTAGGCACTATGCTACCAGAGCTCCCAATCAAACTTATATTGTTGCCTAAACCACACATGATTTTTAAATACCATAAAACAGGCACTGCTTTGAAAAATTAGTTAAATAAACTGAGACCAATGACTGACCAGCTTTCTGACTAAGTAAGAGTTTTGAGGTCACAGTACAAGGAGAGAGAACCAATAAAACTGGAAATCTCCCTGATGTGAGAAGACAAAGTTTAGAATTTGAAAAAGCCAAAGCAGCTAGAATTACAGAAAATGAGAGCTGTATAGACAGGAGCAAACAGTACTGAGAGCAGGGGTCAGCCAACTATGACCTATAAGCCAAATCCAGGCCACCACCTGTTTCTGTAAACAAAAGTTTTATTGGAACACAACCACATTCGTTTATATATAGTCTAGGAGTGTTTTCACACAACAGCAGAGTTGAGCAGTTGTGTCAGACAGTGTACATCTTCAAACATTTAGTATGTCATCCTTGAGAGAAAATGTTTGCTGACACATGCTCTAGAGACCTACAGAAGGGTCCCTTCAAGCGTGGTGCTGTTCACCATAAGCGTAAAAGAAAACTACCTGAAACCAAATGAAGAACCACCCAGATAAATTAAATAAAATGAAAACATGTGAGATAGACCTTAAACTTGTACAGCAGAGTGAATATTACCATCAACAAAAGTGGAAAAACATTGTAGTCCATAGGGCACTGAATCATGAATTCAGAAATATACTTCCTCTGTAACGCAGCAAAGTTGTTGCTGTTAGCCACTGTTGACTCACTCCCAACTCATGGCAAGCCCAAGTTCAAAGGGAAAGGATCAAAGGGTTTTCAATGGCTCATTTTCAGAAACAGATTGTCAGACCTTTCTTCTTAGTCTGTCTTCGTCTGAAAGTTTGACTGAAAACTGTTCCACATGAGAGCCACACACAGACCTCACTGACAAAAAAGGTCGTGGTGGTGCTAACATGCACTGGCTGGGGATTGGACCTGGGTCTCCTGTGCAGAAGGTGAGAAACCTATCACTGAGCCACCACTGCTTTTGGAGCAATACGAGCACTACACTAAAGGTTGGTCTAGTCCCACATAACAAAGCTTTAAAAAGTCTAAAAAGATTAAACTGTTTGCAAGTATCCTAGCTACATCTCAGAACAAACTGCAATCTATTTAAAAACATACAAAAATATCCAACACCCAACAAAGTAAAGATCACACTGTCTGACGTGTTGTTGTGTTGTTAGGTGTCATCAAGTCATTTCCAACTCACCCTATGCACAGTAGAACGAAACACTGCCCAGTTCCGAACCAGCTCCACAATCCTTGCTATACTTGAGCCCACTGCGGCAGCCACCATGTCAATCCATCTTGTTGAGGGCCTTCCCCTCCTTCGTCGACCCTCCACCTCACCTAGTATGACATGCTTCTCAAGGAATGGTCCCTTTGGACAACTTGACCAAAGTAGGTGAAATGAAGTCTGGCCATTCTCGCCTCCAAGGAGTATTCTGGCTGTACTTCCTCCAGGACAGATTTGTTAGATCTTTTAGCAGTCCATGGCACTCTCAGCATTCTTTGCCAGCACCGCAACTCAAAAGGATCAACTCTTCTTCAGTCTTTCTTATTCATTGTCCAGCTCTAACATGCATATGAGGTGACTGAAAATACCATGGCTTGTGTCAGGCACACCTTAGTCCTCAAGGAGACATCTTTGCTCCTCAGCACTTGAAAGAGGTCCTTTGCAGCCAATTTGTCCAGTGCTATACATCGTCTGATGTCCTGACTGCTGCTTCCATTGGCGCCGACTGTAGAACCAAGCAGTGTGAAGTCTTTGACATCTTCAATCTTCCCACCATTTATCATGATGCTGCTTATTTGCCCAGTTGTGAGGATTTTTGTTTTCTTTATATTAAGATGCAACCCATACAGCAGACTGTATTCTTTAATCTTCATCAGTAAGCGCTTTAAGTCATCCTCACTTTCAGCAAGCAAGCTTGTGTCATCAGTGTATCACAGGTTGTTAATGATTCTTCCTCCAATCCTAATGCCACGTTCTTCTTCATATAGTCCAGCTTCTTAGATTATTTGTTCAGCATATAAATTAATTAAGTATGGTGAAAGGATACAAGCCTAACGCACTCCCTTCTTGATTTTAAACCATGCAGTGTTTCCTTGTTCTGTTCGAACAACAGCCATAGACCTCTTGGTCTATGTACAGGTTCCTCATGAGTACAATTAAGTGTTCTGGAATTTCCATTCTTCTCAATGTTACC